TGAAAAGAAAAATGGAAATACTAATTCCATTACCTTTTTTTTACTGTCTGAAATAATAGACAAGCAGTTTGATTCCCCATATTCACCTGAATTAAACAAACTAGACCACCCTGAGGTGTAGAGCAGTAAACAAAGCTACATGGGGGGCTGGAACAGAAGAGGGGGGTGTTAGGGTAATAGGAAGTGGTAAGGTATGAGGTCAGAAGGAGGAGGAGTCTCCTTGACCATTGCAGGACCACTAGGATAGAAGCAGTAGGAGCATTTGTTTCAGCCACCCGATTTTCACATTAAAGCAGACCTAAACTTTCTCAATCAAGATTAACTATTTTTAATCCTTATGCTGCTAGCATTAGTAAATAGATTTTAAACTTTTTTTTTTTTTACATTTCTTCAGTTGCTTCCTGATTTCTGGCCTAGGCCAAAATGATGTCATACATCCCAGAAGTCTTGGTGAGCATTGTTGTTTTTCTTTCATCTGGAGGAGGGGCTTTCTCAGCTGAGCACACCCTCCTGCCTGCATTCCTGAAAGGGCTGGTGGATTCCAGGAAGCAAATACTACATAATTCATTTGCCCTTACTTAAGATGACCATAGCTAGAAATGCTAGGGGCAGGGCTTTTTGTTCAGTGGGAACACGGGGAAAAACAGTTCCAGTACCTCCAGCACTGAATATATGTAATGGCAAGGGGTGCTGGGGTGTGCTGAAGGGTCTAATAATGCTGGCTGCTGAGTGCACTATTGTTGCTGGGGGGGGATCTATTCTTGAATGGTGGACTATTGTTGCTGTGAAGGTCTATTGTTGTTGTTGGTGGATCTATTGTTGCTGGGGGAGTATTGTTGTTGGAAGGGATCTACTATTGCTGGAGGGGGTCTACTGTTGCTAGCTGCTGGGGGGTCTATTTTAGCTGGAAGGCATCTATTTTGGATGGATGTCTACTGTTGCTTGGGAGATCTATTGTTACTGGTGGGGAATCTATTATTGCTGGGGGGTCAATAGTTGCTGGAAGGAATCTTCTGTTGAGGTAGGGGTCTATTGTTGCTGGCTGTTAGAGAGTTTATTGATGCTGGGAAATCTGTTGTTGCTGCGAGAGGTCTATTGTTGCTGTGGGTAGAGTCTATTGTTGCTGGGGGAATCTATTGTTGCTGGGGAGGGGGACCTATTTTACTGCTTTTCATGTTATCATTATTAAATTCCATATAAATGACTTAGCACCACAAGATGATACTTGGCTCTGTATTCTCTGAAAGGGGCGGTATTGTTAGGTGGGTAGGGGGTGGTAGGTGGAGGATTCAAAGTGATTTCTCATCCAAATAAATAAATCATGGACATTTTTGGATGGGTAAGTTTGTTTTGAATATTAAAAAATTAATTAGATAGCATTTTCAGTTTGTAGTGTTCAGATACAGTTTAGTTCTGCTTTAGAGATTGGGTGAGCTAGGCAGTGAAGGGTTAAGAAAAAATTGGACACATGTTTGTGCAGTCTGGTAGTACATTTTTACCACATGCTTGGCAGGTCCTTGACGGCACCATCATGTTGAACTTCATTAATAATGTTCTGTTTGGGTGACTGATTATTAAATGTGTAAGTCACAAATATCTTAAAGTCACATAGGAGTGTAACCAATTCAATACCGGGCAATTTTACACCTTCCTGCCCAGGCCAGTTTTCAGGTTTCAGCGCTCTCACACTTTGAATGACAATTGCGCGGTCATACAACATTGTACCCAAACTAAACTTTTATCATTTTCTTCACACAACTAGAGCTTTCTTTTGGTGGCATTTAATCACTGCTGGGGTTTTTATTTTCTGCTAAATTAACAAAAAAAGACCAAAAATTTTGAAAAAAAAAAAGTTTTTCTTTGTTTCTGTTATAAAGTTTACAAATAAATAATTGTTCTTCATAAAGTTAGGCCGAGATGTATTCTGCTACATGTCTTTGGTGAAAATAACCCAAATTAGGATGTATGTTTTAGTTTGTAGGAAAGTTATAGAGTTCACAAACTATGGTATAGATCTGAATATTGATCAATCCTGAAGCACTGACAGCCAATCTAATTTCTTGAGGTCCAAGAATGTCAGAATAGTACAGATATCCCCAAATGTCAGAATAGTACAGATATCCCCAAATGACCCCTTTTTGCAGAGTAGACAGTCCGACGTACTTCATAAGAGGCATAGCGAGTTTTTTGAAGTTGTATTTTTTTTGTCATAATTTTTCGGAAAATTAAAAAATTAAAAAAATTAGTTTCACTATTTTTTTTTACATATTGTCACCAGTGCAGTACAACGTCATCATATAACTGGCATGGCGGTGATCAGGGACACTGACTGGTGACAGTATGAAAAAAAAAAATATATATATTTTTTTATTATTTTTATTAAATTTTTTTCCTTTTTTTAAGATTTTATTTCATATTTCACTATGACCAAAGTAGTACAATGTTACCATAGTAACATTGTACTACTTTGGGGAAGTGATCAGTATTTTTTTTTTTTCTTTTACACAATTTTCTTATAGCAAAGAATTACTTTGCTATAAGCAAGCATTTACCTGAATGACATCGATTCATTCAGGTTTTTTTTTTTTTTTTTTTTTGTGCTTAGCTGTTATTTGGCCACAGCTAATTACATGACATGTGCATGTGATTAGCTGTGACCATTCACAGCTAGACACTAGTACACAATGGATGGCATGAATGAAGCCATCCATTGTATACAACTGTCATGTGACCTGCTGTGATTGGTCACAGCAGGTCACATGGTACCTGCAACAGGGCCGATACTCAGATCTGTCATCGGCCGTGTCCGAGGTACACGGCCGGTGACAGATTGCGCCGCTCTGCAGGAGCGCAATCTGTGCATGTGAGGGAGGACGCCATATCTATCTATACTGTATGTTGAAATGCGTTTTTATTACAAAATATATGAAAAATATTTTTTAAAATACATTTCAAATATACTGCATGTCTTTAGAAATACAAATCTACATTTTTGGAATGCATTTACAAATATATGTAAAAATATATGTTAAATTGACTTTTTTATATGTTAAAAAAATCTGAAGAATATATTTTAAACATATATATTTTTAAAAATATTTATCATATATTTTGTAATATATAAAAATGCATTTCAACATGCAGTATATATACTGAAATGCATTTTTTATATATTCCAACATATATGAAAAATATTTTTTAAATATATTCTTCAGATTTTTTTAAAACATATAAAAAAGTAATTTTAACATATATTTTTACATATATTTGTAAATGCATTCCAAAAAATTTAGATTTGTATTTTTAAAGACATACAGTATATTTGAACGGTACTTAAAAAAATATTTTTCGTATGTTTTGTAATAAAAATGCATTTCAACATACAGTGTGTGTATATATATATATATATATATATATATATATATATATATTTATTTTTTTTAAATATATTGAATACGGCAAAAAATTGTAGTATTTCAAATATATGTCAATATATTTGTGAATAATATTTTTAAAATATATTTCAAATATATTTTTCTTCCATATGGGTTTGCTTGCTTCTATCCGGCCCTTTGGGCACTATTCCTACCACTGACAACAGGGCATAATCCCTGTCACTGATACCAACAATAAGGTTCTATTCCTACCAATGACCCCAAGAATGGGGCACTATTCCTGTCAATGATACCAATGGCAGGGCACTATTCTTCCCATTGACACCAACAATGGGGCTCTATTCCTTCCCCTGGTCCCAACAATGGGGCAATATTCCTCCCAGGAATGCCAATGATGGGCCGTTGTTTACTCCCATGAAGCCAGGGCATTTTCTACTATCACTGGCCACAGTCCGGCCCCCTCAAAGTCTAAACACTAGACACTAAACTGGCCCTTTGTTTAGAAACTTTGGAGACCCCTGCTCTGGATGAAGGAGCACAGAAGAACCTACCTTTGGATAGCAGCATTATCACCCTGGGGGGAGAGGAATGTTAGATGTATTAGCAGATTTAGATACACCAACACATTGAAGCTGAACTAGACCTAACACTTACAGCAACAGGTTGTTTTCCTTTTGGTGAAAAGGTTTTACGAAAATAAATAAAAGTGGATCATTGTAAGCACCTCTGTCAGTGTTAAATGATTTGTCCCATCTCTGTAACTGCTACATCTGCAAGAGAGCGTGTTCTATTGAAAAAACAACAGACTTATTGGCTGGATCACCAGGTGAAAAGAAGAAAGAAAATCTAAAAAAGAAAACCAATGCAGCCACCACATCTTAGAATTGGTAAGCTGCAATAATAAATGTTTGCTTTTGGATGTAATACAGATTTAATCTGGGGGGTGCTGTCAAGGACTGGCTTCATTGGATCAGTGTGGTTTATACTGTTGCTAATCAAGTTTATAATGGCTATTGATATCATAGTATTTATTAGAGATGAGCGAATCGAACCAGGCGAACCGGAATTCGATACGAATTTCAGGAAAAATTCGATTCGTGTCGAATCCGAATATTTGCCTACTTCGGGTGTGCGAATCGGATTTTTCCCGATCAGCCGGCAAAAGTGTCCCTGCAGAGAGCTCCGCTATTTCTGACATTTCTCTGACAGTTCCTTCACATGTACAGCGGTTGAAACATTGTATCTATTAGTTTCCATTTAGGATACAGATGTTTCAACCGCTGTACATGTGAAGGAGCTGTCAGGGAACTGTCAGAAATAGAGGAACTCTGCACATACACTTTTTGCCGGTTTGGAATTCTTATTTTCATCCTACTTCTTCTTCTTCTTCATCCTCATCCTCAGAAGAAGAAGAAGAGGATGAGGATGAGGATGAAGAAGAAGAAGAAGAAGAAGAAGTAGGATGAAAATAAGAATGCAGATACACTTAGAGGAGTTCTGCAGATACACTTAGAGGAGCTCTGCAGATACACTTTTTGCCGGCTTGGAATTAATCTTATTTTCATCCTACTTCTTCTTCTTCTTCATCCTCATCCTCATCCTCAGAAGAAGAAGAAGAGGATGAGGATGAGAAGATGAAGAAGAAGAAGAAGAAGAAGTAGGATGAAAATTCTGCAGAGCTCCGCTATTTCTGACAGTTCTGTGACATTCACTCCATACAGCGGTTGAAACATTGTATCTATTTGTTTCCATAAATGGATCCATTTATGGAAACAAATAGATACAATGTTTCAACCGCTGTATGGAGTGAATGTCCCAGAACTGTCAGAAATAGGCTATTTCTGACAGTTCTGGGACACTCACTCCATACAGCGGTTGAAACATTGTATCTATTTGTTTCCATAAATGGATCCATTTATGGAAACAAATAGATACAATGTTTCAACCGCTGTATGGAGTGAATGTCCCAGAACTGTCAGAAATAGGCTATTTCTGACAGTTCTGTGACATTCACTCCATACAGCGGTTGAAACCGCTGTATGGAGTGAATGTCACAGAACTGTCAGAAATAGACAGAAACTGTCACAGAACTGTCCTTCTTCTCATCCTTCTCCTTCTTCTCATCCTTCTTCTCATCCTTCTTCTCATCCTTCTCCTTCTTCTCTCCTTCTCCTTCTTCTCATCCTTCTCCTTCTTCTCATCCTTCTTCTTCTCATCCTTCTCCTTCTTCTCATCCTTCTTCTCATCCTTCTCCTTCTCCTTCTCCTTCTTCTCATCCTTCTCCTTCTTCTCATCCTTCTCCTTCCTTCTTCTCATCCTTCTCCTTCTCCTTCTTCTCATCCTTCTCCTTCTTCTCATCCTTCTCCTTCTCCTTTCTTCTCATCCTTCTCCTTCTCCTTCTTTCATCCTTCTCCTTCTCCTTCTTCTCATCCTTCTCCTTCTCCTTCTTCTCATCCTTCTCCTTCTTCTCATCCTTCTCCTTCTCCTTCTTCTCATCCTTCTCCTTCTTCTCATCCTTCTTCTCATCCTTCTCCTTCTTCTCATCCTTCTTCTCATCCTTCTTCTCATCCTTCTCCTTCTTCTCATCCTTCTCCTTCTTCTCATCCTTCTCCTTCTCCTTCTTCTCATCCTTCTCCTTCTTCTCATCCTTCTCCTTCTTCTCATCCTTCTCCTTCTCCTTCTTCTCATCCTTCTCCTTCTTCTTCTCATCCTTCTCCTTCTCCATCTTCTCATCCTTCTCCTTCTCCTTCTTCTCATCCTTCTCCTTCTTCTCATCCTTCTCCTTCTCCTTCTTCTCATCCTTCTCCTTCTTCTCATCCTTCTCCTTCTCCTTCCTCATCTCCAAGGGCATTTAAATTAAAGGTACAGTGTTCTGCACTAATTTAAAGGCTCTCTGAAGCCTAGAAACCCTTTTTATAAGTTAACTTCGTAGCGAATTAATTCGCATCGAATCAAATTTCTTCCTGAAATTCGGCGAATCAGCCGAATCGAATTTTTGAATAATTCGCTCATCTCTAGTATTTATTATTGGAAGTGTTATTCTTAGAGTTGTTCTCAAAAGTGTGCATACCCCTGGGAACTGGTAATATACAGTATGCACCATTTCTAATGAAAATATGAATGAGCAGGCAAAACACATTTTTTTTTATTTCTTATGGGATTCAACTGTAGGTCATAACAGAATGACACAATCATAAAACAAAACATGGCAACAAGTAAACAAATGAAATGATCCCTGTACGGAAGTCTGCATACCCTTAGTTCCTAATACTGTGTATTGCCCCTATTAGCATCAATGACAGCGTGCCGTCTTTTGTAATAGTTGTCTTTGAGGCCCTGAATTCTTGCAGGTGGTATAACTGCCCATTTGTCTTGGCAAAATGCCTTCAGGTCATGCAATGTCTTTGGTTGTATTGCATGAACCACACATTTAAGATCTCTCTAGAGTGGCTCGGTAATATTAAGGTCAGGAGGCTGTGATGGCCACTCCAGAACCTTCACCTTTTTGTGCTGTCACCACTGGAGGGTTACCTTGGCCGTGTTCTTAGGATCATTGTTGTGCTGGAAGGTCCAAGAGCGTCCCATGCAAATCTTTCGAGCAGTGAGCCACCACCATGCTTCACAGATGGTATTCTTGTGGCTTTAAGCCTTGTTGACCCCCCTCCAAACATAGCACTTACGGTTGTGACCATAAAGGTATATTTTGGTTTTGTCACTCCAGATTACAGTGTACCAGAAGCTGTGTCATGGTGTCGGGCATATTGTAACCAGGCTTTTTTGTGGCATTGGCAAAGTAAAGCGTTCTTTCTGTCAACTCGACCAAGCAGCTCATTTTTGTTCAAGTATCATTGCATTGTGCTGCTTGAAACAAAACACATTGTCTTTTTTTCATACTAGCCTGTATTTCTCCCAAGGTTACCTGTGGGTTTTTCTTTGTATATTGAACAATTCCTCTGGCAGTCGTGGCCACAATCTTTCTTGGTCTAAGTGATCTTGGCTTGGTATCAACAGATCCCCAAATTTTCCACATCTTAAGAAGTGATTGAACAGTACTGACTGGCATATTCAAGGCTTTGGATATCTTTTTATATCCTTTTCAATCTTTATAAAATTTCCTTACCTTGTTTTGCAGTTCTTTTGACAGTTCTTTTCTGTTCCCCATGGCTCAGTGCATCTATGTGAGAGCTAACAAACTCATTATGTATACACAGACACTAACTGCAATTTAAAGAGCCACAGATGTGGGAAATTACCTTTAATTGCCATTTTAACCTGTGTGTGTCACCTTGTGTGTCTGTACCAAGACCAAACATTCCAGGGTATGTAAACTTTTGATCAGGGCTATTTGGAGCCAAACAACTACGTGATAATAAATGGCTTCATGTTATCACTATCCTTAAATAAACCACATTTTTTTTGCATGATCAGTTATCATTTAGCAAACCTGTGGCCAAACTATTCCCAAGGCATCAGTTGGTGTAATGGTAGTTTATTTTGGGTATGGTATAATTTGTTATAATTCTCTTTCCTGTTCTTAGTACTACCTAAGTCGTGTTTTGAACTGCCACTTAGATCAAATATTGGGTATCTGGATTTCAGCTTGCACTCGGTATACCTTTTCTACCCCTCTAACCCATGGCCACTCTGTAATGAAAATACAATCTGGTCAGGTGCCGGCCCACTTCTTGTATCTCACGAATGGATCATTACTAGAGATGAGCGAATCGAACATGACGAAGTGGAATTCGTTTCGAAGATTTGGAAAAATTCGATTCGCAACGAATCCGAAGATTAGCAAACTTCGGATGCACGAATCAAATTTTCCCAAAAATGGCGGCGACATGTGTGGCGACAGGAGAAAATGGACAGAGAAGATGGGACGGGGATCTCTGGGAAGGCGCGCAGACAAGGCGCGCTGACCCATAATGCATTCATGAGTCATGAATCATGACATGTGATCGCATTAGCCAATCAGCAGCCAGCCAGCCAGCACTGTGTAATGGTGGAGCTATAAATCGCGGCCATCTTAGAATTCTCCATTAGCCTCCGGTCATTCAAGAGAGACAGACCTCTGTGTATTGAGGGACAGAGTTAGGGCCACAGAGACTTTAGGGCCACAGAATCGTTACTCAGGGACACAGAATTGTTACTCAGGGACACAGAATTGTTACTCAGGGACACAGAATCGTTACTCAGGGACACAGAATCGTTACTCAGGGACACAGAATTGTTACTCAGGGACACAGAATCGTTACTCAGGGACACAGAATCGTTACTTATTGTACGTTCAAAGAGTTAAATCCATTTAGACGCCGGCTGGCAGAGTTAGGGCCACAGAGACTTTAGGGCCACAGAATTGTTACTCAGGGACACAGAATTGTTACTCAGGGACACAGAATCGTTACTCAGGGACACAGAATCGTTACTCAGGGACACAGAATTGTTACTCAGGGACACAGAATCGTTACTCAGGGACACAGAATCGTTACTCAGGGAAACAGAATCGTTACTCAGGGAAACAGAATCGTTACTCAGGGACACAGAATCGTTACTCAGGGACACAGAATTGCTACTCAGGGACACAGAATCGTTACTCAGGGACACAGAATCGTTACTTATTGTACGTTCAAAGAGTTAAATCCATTTAGACGCCGGCTGGCGGTAATATTTTTTTGGGTGATTAGTGCATTCCAGTGACACAAACGTACAGTTTCCAGCCAACGGCAAGCTGCAATTGACCGATTGTGCTAAATATAACTGACTTTCTGCTTCACAACCACTATTGTACGTTCAAAGAGTTAAATCCATTTACACGCCGGCTGGCTGGTAATATTTTTTGGGTGATTAGTGCATTCCAGTGACAGAAACGTACAGTTTCCAGCCAACGGCAAGCTGCAATTGACCGATTGTGTACAATAAACTGACTTTCTGCTTCACAACCACTATTGTACGTTCAAGGAGTTAGATCCATTTACACGCCGGGTGGCGGTAATAATTTTTTGGGTGATTAGTGCATTCCAGTGACATAAACGTACAGTTTCCAGCCAACGGCAAGCTGCAATTGACCGATCAATGTGCTAAATAAACTGACTTTCTTCTGCTTCACAACCCACTATGGTACGTTCAAAGAGTTAAATCCATTTAGACGCCGGCTGGCGGTAATATTTTTTGGGTGATTAGTGCATTCCAGTGACAGAAACGTACAGTTTCCAGCCAACGGCAAGCTGCAATTGACCGATTGTGCTAAATAAACTGACTTTCTGCTTCACAACCACTATTGTACGTTCAAAGAGTTAGATCCATTTACACGCCGGGTGGCGGTAATATTTTTTGGGTGATTAGTGCATTCCAGTGACATAAACGTACAGTTTCCAGCCAACGGCAAGCTGCAATTGACCGATTGTGCAAAAAATAAACTGACTTTCTGCTTCACAACCACTATTGTACGTTCAAAGAGTTAAATCCATTTACACGCCGGCTGGGGCGGTAATATTTTTTGGGTGATTAGTGCATTCCAGTGACACAAACGTACAGTTTTACAGCCAACGTCAAGCTGCAATTGACCGATTGTGTACAATAAAAACTGACTTTCTGCTTCACAACCACTATTGTACGTTCAAAGAGTTAAATCCGGTTTTATTTTTGGGGTGCTTATTGAATTAAAGAGTATGTCAGACAACACGCAGAGGAGTGGCAGAGGAGGCAATGTTTCAGGAGCGAGCAGATGTGGCAGCAGAGGAAGGGGTCGAGGCAGCACTAGTCGCAGCCAGAGGCCAGTGCTCCCGGTGTCATCCAGCGGTCGTGTCTCCACCGACAACCCTGCCATCATCGTTCGATTGGTTTGACTCGGTCGTCTTCCTCTTCCCAGGTCACCTCTGACACCTACAGCCAACGGTCGGTGGGGTACGTCAGACACAACCGTTTAGTTGGCATGGCCCGGGAGCAAGCCCACTGAAATCACGTGTCCTCGA